GTTAGGAGTTGTGCTGTTCTTCAGAACAACTAATAGTATTTTGGCTCTCGCGAGGAATAGCAATCGGAAAGAAATGTTTGAGGAGCGAAACAAAATCGCTCCTTGCCGCCAACATCCAACCTTTCCCAGACAATCACCAATTCAACGCAGAGAGGGATGGGGAGCGGAATTCCGACATCGCGAGGAGCCGGCCGGCTGGTCGCTCCATTCACTCGTCGCTCCGCTTGCACCCAATGACTCGCGACACCGCGTCGGGCCCCGCCGTCTCGGACGCCTCCACTTAACTCACGCGGCGACAGGGCGAGCGGCGGCAGCGGCAGCCGCGGGTGCGTGTTCCGCGCCGCGCTGAGGACGTTCCGCGCCCACGCGTTTGCGCACCCTCGTTCGCGCACCCGCGTTCGCGGACCTACGTTCGCGTCCACGCGTTCGCGCCCACATGTTCGCGTCCACGCTTTTGCGCACACGCGTTCGCGCACACACATTCGCGCTCACGCGTTCGCGCTTACGCGTTCGCGCACACACATTCGCGCTCACGCGTTCGCGCACTCGCGTTCAGGCGCAAAGCGTTTGCGCACACAAACGCCCCGCTTTGCGCCTGCGCTCGCACGCGTACCGCGCGACGAACGCCGAGGGGGAAGCAGGTGATTTTGCGCTGGTTTTCTACCGAGCGATTGAGAGGAATGACTCGGACAGTGTGTTCGTCCGTGACCTACTCCCGATGGCTTAACTAATGAACTTATTTTAATGAGGAGTGTTTACGTTAATTGACACTGGATACTGCCTCGCTGCCGAGGGCTCTGGGCTAATAAGCCTAGAATTTCACGACTATGTGGACATTGTTTAATCGAATTTTAATTAAGGTAAATATATATTCTTTTGACATGTTTGATGATACAGATGATATTTATGAAATTTTACACGGAATAAAAAAAACATTCAAAATTTTTGAAACGTACGATGTATAAATTAGTCATGTAAGATAGAATTTCTACAATTTGCCTTTATAAATAATGGCGGGAAATGAAATGTGATGCAGTTAATATTTTTCAGTGACGTTCAGGTAGACATAACTCAGACCCAATGTGAATTTTATTCAAGAGTAAACTGAATTTAAACCTAGAGATTGATTGTTTCAAACAAATAAGAAACATAATGAGAAAGCTAAACTCACCTTGTAGAAGTCGCCGACACTTCGCGGCGCCGCTGAAGAAGCACTGCCGTTGCGTCCAGATGCACAATCCCAAGTGAGAACAAGAGGCTGCACACGCGACCACGGCACTATCCAACCCACCCGGCGAAAGTTATTAGGTTCTTTGCTATAGATTCACAACTACATACAGCACTCGAATAGTCCCTCACAACGAGCAGTTTAAAGAACTCATCACTGCATCACTACGCGCATCGAAGTTCACGAACAATGAAGCAAATATCCACCAGATATGGGAGGTCTGCTGATACAGATCACTATACGGAAGAGCGATCACAGGGCGATCGTTTATGTAACACGACAGCGATATCGCTCGCGATTCTTGAGTGCGCCACACGCGGAAGAGTCACAAATTGCGCAAGTGTTCGATCTTCTGTCAGCATTCGTAAGAGTTACGTCCACCTACTTATACAATAAAATCATAATTGGTGAGCAAGTTTTAATTGATTCGTTTGCTCCAGTCTTAAGATCTCACTATTGGAAACGTTTGATCTTCTACTTATCGTGGGAAAACACACAAAATAAATGACGAAATATTGACATTTGTCAGCTCGTCCGTTATAATATAACATTCCTTTGATTTGATTCTACCCTCAATAATTGTTTTCATGTGAGGGATAGTTCAGTTCACGTTGCTTGTCACTCCAACAGTTCGTTGTTTGATGCAGCATTGATGTCTCCAAGCTGTCAGCCGCCGCGACACTAGCGTCCGCCAAACGTAAATTAGAACTTCACAGAAAATGATTTCTAGTAATAGTTGCGAAGAAGAAAGAACTTCTTCGGTTTGTCCACAACAAATTTCGACGCATAGGATCTGGTAAATCACTGAAAATTATCTTCAGTGATTTTAAAATGACAGATCCGCTACGCCAGAAGATTTTCTTTGCAGAGCATGGGATGTCACCTTATTTGTGAAGGTGCTTCGGAAGCCCCACTCGAAGATGACACTACGCACTCTAAGAAGTTGTTGGTGTCTCCTTCACAGTAGGATGATGGAAGTCCGATGTACACACTTCCCTAAAGATGTTTGCCGCAGTAAAAAAAAAATAAAAATCCACAAGATGTGCGGGAGAGGCTTCTGGCGCCGGGCGTCAGTGACCCAGGACGACTGAGAGCCGCAGCGCAGCACGCGGCGGCGGGAGCGTGGTCGACTCGGGGCGTCCGGAGAAGAGGCCCTCGTGGTCCCGCGCGGCGGCGGCGGCGACGGCGGGCGGCGGCGGCGGACGGCGGCGCGGGGCGCTGCGAACGCTGCGGTCGGCGGCGGCGGACTGCCCGAGCGGCGGCGGCGGCGGGCGGGCGGCGGCGACGGCGGCGCGGTGGCGGCGGCGGCGGCGCGTGCGAGCCGCTTCGCGCGTTCCGTCCTCCGGCCCGTCCCTGGACTCCCACCTCCTCCCCCTTCTTCGCTCTTCGCGCTGCTCCTGCCGCCGTCGCAGCCTCCTCTCCGCGGTCTTCCCCCCTCCACCGCGACCAGCGCCGCCGCGCGCCGCCGCTGCTGCGCGCCCCTCCCGCGCCGCCCTGCCGTCAGGAAGGAGAAAACTGGAGCAGCCGCGCGCGGCGGCGGGCGGCGGCGGAGGGGTGAGGAGGCGGCGGCGGTTGGCGGAGGAGGAGGCGACGGCGGGCGCGGAGCGGCGTGTGTGTGAATGGCGGCGGTGAATAACTGAGATGTAGGAACTATAGCGAAGAGGCGCGCGACTTGGGAGCCGCGGCACCACTTCCTTTGGTCGTTGTGCGGCTGTGGGATCGCTGGGTCGGCGCTTTGCGAGCACGGAAGATTTGGCCGAGTTTTTTAAATCGCGTGACTAGACGAGCCATTACCGTTTGCTTTTGTGTTTTCGTTCAGTGGGTTAGAGCAGACCGAAGTCTCCGCGAAACGTTGCGTGGGAGCGACAGCTCCAAAACTCGCCTCGGAAACTCTGCAACTTCTGTATTAGTTTTACATCTGACAATTCGTAATATGGAATAGTATTACGATTGATTCTTAATTATTTTGAGTGATTTATTTCTTGATTAAAAATCCATAACTATAGAGAAAATAGTTTTACATTATTCTTGTTAATCTCATTTTTGTTTCATAAATATTTCTTTTACGTTACTACTCACTTAATGTTAAATTTTTCAAAAATTGAGTGTCTATAATAATACCAGCAGATTGCAACCGAAGATCGTTTTGAGAAAGTGATTTTTTGTTTTGTTTTCCGTTCACGTCCACTTGCACTCCGGACACATTTTTGAAGGGGAATTAGGGTTTTGCTATATTCCAACTTATTTAATATTCAACAATGATAGATATATGGCAGACTTTTACCGTCAATATTTGTAACTGAAAATGCGAGGCGGGTTGGGATATTCCCTTATTATCCTGAGCGCCTCAGTTAAATCGAATATTTTTTCATATAAATTAGGATGAGAAATTTTATTAGTGTGGAAGATATAGGGATTGCAAAATTTATTTAATTGGACAGAATGCCCTGCTCTCAAGAATCGCAGCACTTTCCTTTCATAGGCATGCGCACACGCGTACGTGCTGAGGCGAGCGGGCCGCGTCGTCGGCGGCGGCGGATGGAACCGTACGCGAGCGCGGCCCCCACCGCGTCCCGTGACAGACTTCTCCTTCCACGCCGCCCGCCTTCACCGCCCGCGCCGCCGCGCGCCCGCGCCGCGCGGCCCCCGCCGCCGCCGGGAGAGAGCCGCGCGGGGCGTTCGGCCACTCGCGAAGCCGCCGCCCCCGCCGCCGCCCCGTGCGCTCCTGGGCCGCCCCGCGCGCGCGCGGGTGATGGACCGGAGTGGCGGTGCGGGGGGGGGCGAGGCGGGGGCGGTGGGTGCCACCGCGCGACCGCCCCTCTCTAGCGCGCCGCCGCCCCCACCGTGCTCGCCGCCTCCGCCGCCGCCGGCCCCTGCCGCCTCCAGAGCGCCGCCGGGCGCCCAAGGCGACGCACGCGCCGCGCCGCCCGCCCGCGCCACCACGCGGCGCGCGACGCCGCTCACCGGGGGTGCGAAGCTCTGAGCGACTGATGTAGCTAACATGATGTTCGAAATTAAAGATCTATGTTAAAAATACATCGACTAATTCCCATCGAGGTTTTTCTACATCAGTACTTTTCAACATCGATGTTTTTCGTCATCATTGTTTTTTCAACAGCGATGTTTTTCGTCATCAATGTTCTGCAATATCAATGTTTTCCAACATCAATCGCCAGGGGGTGCGATCTCGTGATGCGACATCGATGTTCGAAATTAAAACATCTATGTTAAATATACTTCGACTAAATCCCATCGATTTTTTTCAACGTCGATGATTTTCAACATCAATGTTTTTCAACATCGATGTATTTTGTCATCAATGTTCTGCAACATCAATGTTTTTCAACATCGATGTTTTTAGATCGGATTAGTAACATCCGATCGATTAGTAACATCGAAAATGTTTCAGAGGGTTAACAAATCATATGTGCAAGAGATTAGTTCTCTTTTAAGTTCAATTCAATGATATGGTCAGATACGTATTCAATACTAATTTTTTGTTACTACTCATAAATATGTGGTACGAATCATTAAAATATTTGTTAATTTTTTATTGTTGCATTTTCCGTTGTACTCAATTTTCCAAAATGATTTAAAATCATTTGCAAACATTTTATAATTATTTTTGTACATCGACGTTTCTATATATCAAATATTATTGAAGGAACCGACAGATTCGATTAAAGTTGGTTCGAATGTGTATGGTATTTATAAAATATCACTTAGGGGAATAGACCTGGGATTATTAAAAGATCATTTTCAGATTATTAATATGATTCTGTTACAGTCAACATTTCGAGGCATTATTCGATGTCATCAAAAAGTCTTACGTATGTTTAAAGCACAAAAGCGCGTTACATAATGTCGAATGGTTTGGTCTATTATAAGAATGCCAAGTCAAGGCGAAGTATCAAATATTAAAATGAATAAAACTTTTAAAAAAAGTCATATTCATAATACAATCGCCGACATTTTTAGATCGTCGGAGACTAGCATAGTTGTATATGGGAACTGTTTCGATACAGCACATATGAAGTACTTTTTTGTTGTAACATAGAGCTTTTACTTTTGGGCGATGTAACCACAAGTATTTTGCTAGTTTTTTAAACACATTCGATGAATTCAAACGGTGTTATATTTTTGTAGTAATAGTCACATTTTCTCTATAATATTCTTCTGCAGGGACCATGTAATTCGGTCTGCTCGACCTTATCCTGTGGCTGTGGCCTTTCCCACGTGGTAGTTGTTGGGTGGTAACGTGAAGATGTATCAGCAGTAATTTCATAAATGTTATAGAATAAAACGAGAATATTTGATATAACGTACGAAAATGAGTCACTGGAATTACGAATTGTCTGAATGGATTAAAATATCCAGCGAGGAATAGAAGATCGCCGTTTATAATGTGATGTTCTGTCTGTGTGTGAGAGAGAAGGCGTTTTAACTGGGATTTAAGTCTTTGGAATCGCAATATGATAAATGAGTGTAAGGGAAAAAGACAGCGATTGAACCTCATTTTGATCCAGTTACTGAGTTGATGTCCAATGATTCGGAGCTCTATACTCTGCATTGCCCATCTCTGCTCCTGCAAACACACGCGTTCTACCATTGCCCACCGTTCGCGCACCTTACCTTCTCACTACAGTAAGACACAGTATAAATGAGTACACTACAGTATAAATGAGATGGTAGTTTTTCCTAATAATACCATGACCGCTTAGCCAGTTCGGCCCTAGCACTAGTCATGAAATAGTCATTCAACTGGAGCGGACTGGATAACACGTAAAATATTAGTATTTCTGAGCGACACTCGACCGTGCTCTCATTGCAGTAATAAAACTTGTGACCGATTAGTAATTATAGTAATCTTTAAAATCAGCTTCAAAATAGATAAATGAATATATTGACACTAGTTTCGTGGATAAGCAATAAGCAATTCCATTATTATATAAATACATTTCAAATCCCAAGGTCTATAATATAAAATGTTATTTATATTGAAAGGAAATACCCCGCGTCACTATTATTCTAAAAAAAGTATTTTAATTATTATTCTCTGCAACTAGAACAGCTAATTATGTATATATTTTACATTAGTTGCAATAATGAAAAGAAATATACATGTTAGCATGTGTAGTAAAACATTTATTTTATTTTAGAATAGTTTTTCTTATATTTTTCCCTTAAGAAGTATCGTTCGAATAATGCTAAAACCGGTTACCTGCAGTTCTTCATAGCTTAATAGTATTTGGTTATTGTCGTAACACACTATTGATTTGTCTTAGAAAATAAATAGTGCGCATTTGAGTCTTAAGGATGCTGCTGATTGAACTTTCGTGATGCTAAAAGTGTGCGAGTGTCATAACACAAGCACTTTTGATCGTACATCTTGATTAGGGACGGGCCTGAATACTATACCGGTTTTAGTTACGAATCTTTTTGCTTCTTTACTTTCTTTCTAATACGAAAAAGTATTGTAATTCTACGAGGAAAACGGCTTTTTCCACAGAAAAAACTTATTGCCAGGCCCAGGTAACGAAAAACTTCGCGAACGTTTGTTAGATATATTAAATTCTGTGCTGAGATTTTTCTTTATTATAAAATATCACCTGAGTTGTATACCCGTTTCATAATCATTATCATAGGCATACTGCGAGGGATTTATCTGAGAATTTTCACAGTACGGGTGTTATTTAATGAAATTACGTCCAACAGAATTCCAAAATGTGCCATACATTGAAAATACCTGAAAGCATGTTAAAATCAAAGAGGTTATGCTATAGTACATACACGGTTTATTTCACATCGACAGAGGTATCATTACCTACCTCCTCCTAAGATCGATGAGCCACAGCTTATTATTGGGAAATGGGGAGAAAAAAATCGGCTAGAAAAAGTAATCATTTTTTTAGATACACCGCCCTGATTGGGGTACTTTATATGAATAGTTTAACACTATTAGTTTTTAGTTTCACGAGTGGAATAGTCGTTGAGAGACAGGTTCACAAGATCATAAACGACCCAACGCGCCGGATGGGTTTCAGCTGCATCCATCACTCGACGCGACGAGTGCATGCGTTCGCGGCTGGAAGAAATTATTCATTAGCCGAGCGTCCTCCGGCGGAGAAGGAGCGAGGATGAGAGCGGGATAATACGGAGCACACGGCGCATAAGCGGCTGGCGCTGTGTCAACGACCTCCGACGGGTGCCGCCCAGGAGACAACTGCCCACGGCGCGGCGCGGCCCGGCGCACTCCCCCTCGGCGCCGCCGCTTCCGCTCAGGCCGCCCCTGCGCCCCGGGGCCCACGCGCACAGTGGGCGGCAAACGGCCCACACGCGCAACACGCCCGGGTGATTGATCGATTGGTTGATTGACTGATTGATTGATTGGTGATTCCGGGTGCATCAACTGTTAAGGACATTCGTCCCATTTGCGAAGTATTTTTTATTGATTTTTATTAATTTATTAGTGATTTTGGGTGTCTCAACTATTAAGGTCATTCGCTCCGTAAGTAGTGTGTTTAAAAAAAATTGATTGAATTGTAATTCTCGGTGGGTGAATTGCTCTGGTCATTCGTCCCGTAAGGAGAGTTTTTTTTCATTGATTTTATTGATTAATTAGTGATTCCGGGTGCGTCAACTGTCAAGGTCATTCGTCCCGTAAGTGGAGTGTTTTTTACTGATTTTATTGATTCCCTGTACATCAACTGTTAATTTCATTCGTCCCGTAAGTGGAGTGTTTTATTGATTTTATAGATTGATTAGTGATCAATAACGGGTCAACAACTAACCTCATTTGTCTTGTCAGTGGAGTGATTCTTTTTTATCGCGGGAGGTAGCGGTGATCTACCGCCGTTGGATGGTGACATTCACCGGCTATCTACGATAGTTTGTGGTGATTGTTCGTTTTATAGCACAAATTAATTTCTCAAAGCATGGATCTCTATAATTCGGCCACAGCTTTATCCGACACTAGTTAAAAAAACATTATTAAATATATGATAATATAAAATAAACCTTATGAACGTTACAATACAGGTATTTTAAAAGCTCTAAAGAATTATTCATGTTTAACCAAAATTGAAATTTTCAGTGAATAAAGCTGTGTGCAATCTAATAGAGTATTTTGTTCTGCTCGTTGAGAAGAATTTTTATTCTTTGGATAAATGTTTAACTTTCAAGATGTCTTTTAAATGTAAAATTGTATAAAATATTTTTTTTCATTTTCAAGCTTTTTGAAATTTCTCTAATTAATATTTATTTAGTTATTATTTTTAAGAATTTTTTTCGAGTGCATTTTGGCCCATCCAAGCCGACGTGCGACGCTGTCACTTCCTTGTCTGCGGTCATGTCGCTGCCCCTTCCGTTTTCGTAGGGCCTTATGAATGTTGCATGGCTCCCTCCATAATGGATACTGGAAGGATCAGAACATCGATCACCATTCACGACGAAGTCAAATCACCAGAAGTAATGTCATGGACGCTTTCAAAACAACACCAATTACATCAGTACTACTTATGTGAACACCACCACCACATCTACCACCACTATGCCCATAAACATAATCTTTATCTCCCAACTCCTATATGACCTCAATATTACTATCCCTATTTTCGAATCATCGCTTGCCACGCCACTTCCTATAAACCCGACAGCCGTTTCTTTCTTCTAACCATTTCATTCGTTGCCTAATTTTTTGATTGCCCCATCTTTCAATGACCAAACTGCCGATCCGGTGGTGGCACTAGTGCAGTAGGCCGTAGGCAGTAGTGCCGTAGCGATCTCGGACCGAAGAATCGCGAGTTCGAGTCCCGCCTCGATCATGGTTGTATTGTGTTCGTCCTTTCACCGCCTATTATCATATCGTGTCATCCTCACAGTTACCATACCGTTACAAGTAATAGTGGTCCCTAATGACCTAGAAGTTGATGCGACCTTAAATAACAAAAACAATGACCAAACTACTGCCGTTTCTGAACCTTCTATTTTTTCGCCACCAACCCCTCCGCTCCAGTCCCCCGTTCCTGCCTCCACCTCCATTTTCGCCCCCCTGGCCACGCCTTTGCCTCACCCTCCTCCTCCACTACGTCCGATCTGGCCTGCGCGTTCAATCGCCTCCGACCGCCTCGCCACTGCCTCCGCCTCGTCGACCGACACCGCAGCCGCCGCCGCCGCTACCAAAAGCGCGCTCGGCGACGTCACCGCCGCCCGGTGGCCGGGGCCCGGGGGCCGGGGGCCGGGGTCGGCAGCCGAACCGTCGCTTTTACTCTCATCGCTCGCAGCCGTCGATTTTGCTCTCCGTCCAAGGCTGCGGCTAACGGGAGGCCCAGTTTTCGACACCCGCCGCGCCGCCGCGCTGCGCGAGTGGGCCGCGCCAGTGATGCATGAGCGGGCAGCTGGCCTCCACACGCCCTGCCCGCCGGTTTCGCAGTTTCCAGCGAAACCCCTCAATTTCGGATGCATTATCTTCGTAATAGAGACACACGATACGAACACTGTGGGTGTATCGACGGGGAAATCTCTATTGTTTGGTTTGTTCGTACCGATTTATGATCAGCTTGAAGTATTGTTTCACAGTACTCCAATCTAGGGTTTTAGTATCCCTTCTTTCTTATTTGATTGTTGTTTGTAAATAACGTAATGGTTATATTGTGTAAAAGGTTTCCTTTAGAAAAAAATGTGTAATATATCAATCGGGAATATATGTTGTAGATCATGTGCGACAACATTCCAATAATTTTCTACAATACGTTGCATACTTATTACGCGGGTGATTTCAATTTTCTACTTGCGCTACATTTTTATACGGCTTTATCTCTTTACATATCTG